GGCACTGTTTAGCAGACAGCTCCCTTATTTAGTGTCCTTAAATATATCAAGGATAACAAATAAGGGAATATATTTGTATGTTTATCAATGTTTGTATCTGTGTGTATTTGTATCTGTATGTGTGTTTGTGTCTGTCTAGCTGCATGCATGTCTGTGTATCTGTTTGTGATTGTGTGTATCTGCATGTGTGTGCATATGTGCATACATCTCAGCATCCCGCCAACCCTGCACGCAAATACACCCCTGCATTCCAACATTAATGCTACATACAAACACACTCCTGTACTCCTGCATTCAAACATCAACACTACATACAAAAACACCTCTGTATATAATAACACCACTGCATTAAACTCCACACAAATGCATGCCTGAATTCAAATGCCAACACTGCATACAAACACACATCTACATACACTCATACATACAAAAACTTGCTTACATTCAAACACACAAACACTACTCAGTGCTAAATACATTTTAAACATTTGTTGGTGTTTATTTACATTTTGTGCAGGGGTGCTAGAAATAAGGCCCGCCCCGGGTGCCAAATGCTCTAGGTACGCCTCTGTAATGCAGTATTATATAATTATATAATTTCAAGGTATCATTGTATGCATCATAGTAGTGACGTATTTGTGTAATGCTGATATGTGGGAAACCCAAAGAATAGTTTTTGAAGTGCCAGTGTGTCACGGGTTTGGGGTGAATAGGCTCAGTATGCAGAGATTTGGACAGACACAGTTTTTAAATTTAAGGTCTTTATTATAAAGCAAATGATGAAAAAGTCCCAATGCAAAATAGAAGCCGAAAATAAGGCAATATCTTGATAGGAAATAAAAGTCCTTAAGATAAAATAAAGTCTTTTACCAGAGTTTGAGCACTGGGCACATGATGAAAGGCTTGATTGAAAATGTAGCAATATTGCAGGAGTTAAACCTGAATGCAGGGATGTATATTCATATATATAGATATAGATAGATGGAGAGAATTAAGTCATGTACATGCAGGGGTGTAGTATTATTTAATTTTGGTGTGAATTAAGGAGTATATATGTTTGAAGTGTCAGTTTGTGTAGTGCTTGGGTCTATGTAAAGTAAAGGGTATAAAATGCATTTGTGTAGAAGAAGCTGTTTGTGTAAATGAAGGTCACTGCTGGTGTTTGGATATCTGTGTGTAATAATGAGAGCAGTCTGTGTATGGATGCAGGGATAGAGTGTCTGTGTGTGAATCTGAGCAGTCAATGTTAGAGTGTGTGTGTGTATGTGTAGAAGACGCATGCTGCCAGGTCTTACACAGCAGGGGAGGAGTATTGAGAAGGGGATAGGTAGCAGGTTCCATACCACCAGAGGCCTGCAACTATCGCTAGAATAAATCATACTAAATTATACCAGTCCCATCTAGGTAATATCTGTGCATCCTGATTTCCTTGC